CAAATTAGCTATGTTTGGGAAGATAAATATTTCATTCTCGTGTGAGGCTTCAGTCACAACAGTCAGTGTAAACTTACTTACTGCTGGTATATATCTAGTCATCATATTCATAGCCCCCCCAGTAGAAAATTCCACCAGCCGCCACTGCACCTAACCCACAGTGTTTCCTGAAAAACCTGTTTAAAGCCCTCTCCTCTGGCCCCTCCAGTTTGCACGTTGGCACTGCAGAAGTTACAGTACAGAATCTCACTGCTTTACCCTACACTTTGGTGTGTCAGGGATTCATTTGCAAATTAAACATTGCTCAAACCTCCAGAATTCCCAGCGTTCGTAGCATCTCGACGGGTACACATTCTGCTTTCCAGTGCCAGCCGCTCCACTTTCCCACTTTCTTCTGCTTCTCGTGGCGTTGCGTAGGAGGTTTGTTATTCCTGTCACTTCTTCCACCTTTTTTTCCACGGCTTTTTTAACTGGCTAAATTCCAAAGCCTTGTTCCACTTCTATTGTTTGCAACCTACTACATAATGCATTTCATTAGGCCGTCTCCGCCTGTCCACAGCAAATTTTTCATAAACAACAAAGCCCCCAATCCCCCACCCCTGTCATATGTCTGCTCTGCCATCATTTCAATTAGAAGCCTGGTTGTTTTGTGATGTTGTCTTGACACGCTTTGGCATATTCATTATCTCATCTCGTGCTGTGACAGGAAAGAGCCTTTGCTGACACCGCATCTGGCTTTACATCGCTGTGCATTGTAAAGAGTGCGTCCTAAAGCCCAGACCTGAATGGTTTGTGGCTTGGAGTGAGAAAGAACAGGGCACTGTGGAGAGCGGAAAATAAATGTACAATTGCCGATCTTGAGAGAAATAAGATGCCATGAGATTTGTGTTTTCAAGCCGGGCTTCTGGATGCATTTCAAAAGCATCCTTTTAATTGTTCAACAAGAAAATACGGAAAAGATTGGAAATACAAGGTTTAGAAATTATTATTGGATTGGTCTATTCGGGTTCTAAAACTGTATGTTTACAATTCTTCTGAACATTTGTTTTGTCCTTTTTCAAAACGGTATGAAAAAAGCAGCAGTGGATTATACCATATCAAATGTCAAAACTTTCATTTAAGAAACTTTGTCCTCATTTATACATCACATTTCAGTTTCAGACTGAATGAACAATACGGTGTGGTTAATAGTGTGACCGCACCATATTATTCATTAAGTCATGTAAAACTGACATTTTTACCACCCTGCTGACTTGGATTGAGGGTCTGTGTCAACTAGGTAGTAAGTAAGTAATATTTATTTACATAGCGCATTTTACAGACGCAGGTCACCAAAGCGCTTTACAATGTTCAGAGATCAGATATTTTTCCATTCACACCCGGTGATGACAGAAGCAAGACACCACACACTCTGGCATCAAAACCTCCAACCAGCACCATCCATTCACTCACTCATTACATTCATACCTATTGAACATGTTTTTAGTGGTAGGGGAAACCGGAGCACCCGGAGGAAACCTACGCAGACACTCAGAAAAACCCTGTTCCGACCGGGATTCGAACCTTCCTGCTGAGAAGCTGCTATCCACTCAGCCACCGTGGTCCATGTCAGTGACCCTGTGTGCTGGTTTGATAAGCAGATGCTGGTTTGCAGCAGTTGTGTCTGTTCCAACAACCGAACAGCAAATGCTTAGTGAAGTATGTACGGACAGATTACAAGCGGTTTATCTGTGGGATAAAGGACGGCACTGAGAGTATCGGTGTGTCTTTTTTTCTTTTCTTCAGTAATTATTGCTTTGTTGTTGGCGTGTTGCAGTGCATTCCTCTTGGTCACCTGTTGGAAGGATTGGAGTGACCTCTGATTAAAAGCTGCTGCCCTGCTTGTTCCACTTCTAATCTGAATGTGGTCCGTTCTCACAGAGCCTAGTGTGTGAACGTACTATTGAACTATGGTGTTGATGGAAAACGTGAACTCTGGACTGCTTTCAATTGCCCCTGGGTCAGGCTCAGATGAAGTGAGAATGCAAAGTGTTCCAGTACAAGAACTACAACACAATGCGTCTCACCAAATACACAAAGCGGACACAAGACTCACTAAGGACCAAATGGTTTACTTTAGTGATCAGCATTGAGAATGATTTAATCGGCTGTCTAAATAGAAATGAACAAACTCCAAACAGATAACACTTAGAATGCAGAGCAAGTGTGCAACAGCCAGATGACATTTAAATGCCTAGGATCTAGTTTTTAACTTAAATCATTATTTTTTTCCATTAAATGCTATCTGGAAAACACCAGAATATAGATCAAGTGATGTCCTTCTTAATATCATAGTTGGTTGGCATCCATCCATTAATTTTCTTGTAGGTGATGTGTAGTTTACATGTAGCGTCCATAGCTGTTTGTTGGCCCTATGAATGTCTTTCACATTCATCTGCCCGATTGCAGCAATTGTATCAATTCGACCTGCCAAGGTATGTCGCACGACAGAATAATGAACATAAGGGAGGAGACAAAAAAGACAAATGATGGTGTTTGCACAATGGCCGATTACTGCAGTTTGTGCTAAACAGGAAGAGGATAGCTTTGCAGGAAAATGGCTTTGTTTGTTTCCATCATGTTGGATCCGTAAACTAACTTCTGCCTGTCCAATACTGCATAATCATCTTTTGATCCCACAGCGTTTTGATTGTTCCTCAAATGCATCTGATCATTTTGCCGAAGGTTTCAATGCTGTTCGAAATGATTCAAGGACACATAGCAACATGGATATTTCCGGCTACAATAAGATGTCCCCTCTGCATTTGACCCATTCTGTAATACCACTAGAGCCTCTGTCAGGAGCAGTGATCACTTAGGTTATTTAATTATAATTTTAGTCAGTCTGTGAAGTTCAATTCTAAAATATTCAACCTTACAAGAATAACTGTATTTTTTGATTAAGTGATTATTCAGATATATGGACAAACTTACTTTAAGATCTTGAGTCAAGTTGATTCTAAGATAGACCTGCATCCCACCAGACCATATAACAATCGTTAAAGGAGGAGTTTAAGGCATAACTTTTTTGTGAATTTAATAAAAGTTCTTACAGATATAAAATCACAGAAGCACATACAAATCAGGGCAAGAGTGAAACAAATGCATAGCTACCTGACGAGGCTGTGTTCATCTCTTTTTTCTCTCTCATCGCACGCCTTTAAGTTAACCACCACTTGTTACAATCTGTAATCTGTTACAGGCCTGGCTGTCCCTGGTTCAACTATCGGTCCATTCCCAAGCTTGTCTTTCTGTTAGGTCGTTCTAAGGTTACTTCTTAGCTTCTATTCTGAGGCGTTCTATAAATGCAGAGTAGAATACATCAAGATATAAAGTATAAAAAGCAATTTCCTGGAATTGTATCATAACAGGCGGTCTGAACGTGCCATGAGAGTTGAGGAGCACTGTCAAAGACGCGTATTTTCTATCAAAGGCTTCCGTAGTACCTCGGACTGCAATATATGATCTCAACGCTAGATGGCACTAAAAATACAGTGTCTCTTTATCTCGTTATCATTCATGAGGTAATTATCATACATGAGAGGTAATTATCATACGTGAGGTGTAATTATCATACATGAGGTGTAATTATCATACATGAGGTGTAATTATCATACGTGAGGTGTAATCATACGTGAGGTGTAATTATCATACAAAATACTGATGAATGATATGGATTATAATGAAGTTGTACATTTGTTTAAATGTGGGATTTAGTAAATTGTATTTTACAGACAAAGATGGAAATTATCATCCCTCATTCGTTAAGTCTTTTTTTTTTTACAGTAAGCTTTATTCTATAAAATCACAATCAATAATCTCAAACAATTCTGTTTAGGGACAACGCCTGGTGAAACAAAATACAGTATTTTATTCTGGCTAATTCACATGTGGAGGTGGATGATTCGACCTGGGTTGGTGGTCAGCTGGAGTTGATGCTGGTTTGTTATTCGATGCATCAGGACAAGTCTTTGATGTTTGCGGCGCTCCTCCAGCAAGACTTTTGAATTCTGAAATTCAGCTTTCAATGTCACTGGGGCAACCTGCCAGGAGCAGTGAGTAAGTGAAGTGCCAGATCCTGAGCAAGGTTTCATGGTCACGATGACAGTTGGTGTTGGATTTTACAGACAGAAATACCCTGCAAAGTTCACCCGAGTATTGACTGGGGCTATAGTTTCTGTAATATTTTTTTTTACATCTCATGTATGGTAAATATGTTTCAGAAGTAAAGTATGAATCCTAGTTAAAGAGTTTCTCTTCAAACAACATTTTCATTTTATTTCCAAAAGGAGCTTTTGCCCCAAGGAAACTCACAGCCTGTACACACCACCAGCGCAGAGAGTGACGGGCGCCTCTCCTTGGCAGAGGAGGCTTGCGGTACAAGGGCTATGGGTGAGAGGAGCTGATCTAGTGTAAAGGCCGCTAGCACGTGTTTCCCATGTGCTTCGACTGAGAGCCTCGTTACTGTGCGGATGAAAATATGCAAGACTCGTATTTTGGGCTGAGGAGCGCCACAGCTCTTGTCTGTGTGACGGCACAGACAAGTGCAGTGTGTACGCACCTCGCTGATACAAGGGCCACGCATTTCAACACAGCCCCGTGGCACCCCAGGCGGGCCGCTGCACAAGTATTTCTGCTTCACATGACACATGTTGTGTACGGGCTGTCCGGCTGTAACTCACAATTATGATAATGCATAAATCTTTAATTGTTTTAATCAATTAGTTGTTTAAAAACGCCAGTGATAATATTTCCTGACAACCTTTTCATAATTAAGATGTTAGGGGTTTTTCAAATCCCTTGAAGACTTGTACAGACCAGCGTTTGTAATTAAAGCAGTTCACCATTATCAAATACTAAAATTTGTCGCAAGGATTAAACAAATATCACATATTTTCAATAAACAAATTCCAAATTCTCATCCAAAAACACATTCTGCATGTACATGCTTTCTTTTCCAGGTAACGAGTTTGGTCACCCGGAGTGGCTGGACTTCCCTCGAGAAGGCAACAATGAGAGCTACCACTACGCCAGGCGCCAGTTTAACCTGTTGGATTGTGACCACCTGCGCTACGGTCAACTCTACCGCTTTGACCGCGACATGAACTGGACCGAAGACCAGTATGGCTGGCTCGCTGGCTCCCAGGTAAGGCTGCGCTTGTCGTCATATCTCAACACTGCATGAAAGACATGTAGAGCAGGAGCTGGCCCATTACAGGTTTATCAGCCAATTATTATTATTATGCTCATTTATGAAGAAAAAAAAGGAACAATGTATTTTTTAATGGTTTACTTGCAATACATTATTTGACTAAAGAAAAATAATTAATGCAGTTAAAACTTTAAAAGAAATGACATTGTGATCGTGTGATAACTACAGTTAATAATAGATAGGTGAATTGTAATACAGCAGTGTTTTTAGCAAAGTCTGCTTTAAAATTGGGCATATGACGACATTTGGTTTGTTTGACAAAATGAGTTGGTGGCTGGGTCCACACTCTTTAAGTAGATCCTAGCATTTGCAGGGTCATAAATTGAGAATTGGTTCACCAACTTTTCACCTGGGTAAATAAAATCTGTTTTTTAATCTACGACTATTTGCACATGTGTTAACCATGCATATTAAAACAGAAACTTAAATACTAATAATTATAATAATACCAATACATTACATACACTAATACATAATACGTTTAATGTTGTTTTATGTCTGTATTTGTCTGTGCACACTGGAGACTTTTGCTAATGTATTCCAATGTGGTTTTTTTACTGCAAATGGCAAATAAACTGAATCTGAATCTGAATTACTGTAAATACGTAAAAACTCTTGTGGAATTATCACTTATTTTCCTCTCAATGAATTACATTATCTAAATGTTCCACAATGCTCATCTTTAATCCAATTAGTCTGTTTCCGACATCTTAGTTTGTGAATGTGGCCGAGACGAAAAGGGCCTCAGTGGTTCCTCCTTTTTCTCACATTTTCCCACATGATACAAAAGTGCATAGGTTATCAGTGCTCACATAAATGTGGTGTACCCCCAGTTAAGATTAACGGCTTATTAACCGAGCGCGAGGTCTGTATGGAGAAATATCAGACCTCGCCACGGCGAGGTCTGTGCAAAAAGGCTCTTGTCTCGTCTGTGTCTTTACCAATGCTTTTGAGATATTTGTGAAGTATGTTCATGTCCAACTTGGTTTTGTGTGATACGCGCTGCGGACAGATTGTCATGGTAACGGTCCGAGGAAAGATATCAAATGTGATACGCCCTGTTCGGACCAATTGTCATGGTAACGGTCCGAGATGGGAAAATATCAAACCGATAATCAGCCAATCAGAGCGCGGGTACGGTCCAAGTCATATAATAATAGTCCATACTCTCTCCTCAATCTTCTTCCCATCCCACGGTACACCTACATTCAGGTTATTTTGTTTCTTTATGCGTTTGCTGCAAGCAAAACACTAATAGATTTTGCTGTGCGCGAGTCTGTAATTGAAGCCTGTGGGTAAACTACTTTAGTTTATCTCTCTGAGGGATGTTGAGTGCAGAGATGGAATAATGCAAATGTAGGGAAAGTGACGAGGATTACTAGTTAGCTTTTGTAAGCCATCCAAAAAGCCCTCTGCTCCTTTCATACAATGTCAATAGGAACATTACAACTGCTGCATTTATTATGTGATAATTTGAGCGGGTGAACTCTTCTGGTCTAAGTGTTCACTTTTAGCAACCCTTTAACAAAAAGATTTGCTCCTATGAACATAAGTGTCAAGTAAAACCTACCTGCCCAATCTGAAAGCATATAAACCTAACTCTTACATATCATCTTTTTGTAATACACTTTTCACTTACCAGCCTTTTTAAAAGAAATAGCTAAAATGTTCCACTCTTGCACAGTTGCGTCCTTGGGTAAAACACTCCTTCAAACTCCTCGGCGACTTAGTGGTTTCCCAATTCTACTGACTCAGCCCCGGGTATCTCTCACCAACAGCCTGTATTCCGTGGAGGCAAGAAGGCCCACCAACCTGATGATTGTTAAGTCAGTTCTGCCAGGAGGGGTGGGCCAAACTTTGAGACTCTTACCCTGCTCTGCAGAGTTAGTAAGTAAGTAAGTAAGTAATCTTTATTTATATACCGCCTTTTCACTGCAGATCTGAGTCTCAAAGCGGTTTACAATTGTTAAATATGGGCATTTATCTCTCACAGAGATGGGAGCGGTGTCGTCAGTACAGGAGGCGCATGCCAGACATGCCTATTGGACATATTTTTAGTGGTAGGGGAAACCGGAGTACCCGGAGGAAACTTACGCAGACACGGGGAGAACATGCAAACTCCACTCAGAAAGGCCCTGGTCCGACCGGGATTCGAACCCAGGACCTTCTTGCTGAGAGGCGAGAGTGCTATCCACTCAGCCACCGTGCCGCCCACAGTTAGCATTTCGAGTAGCTGCTGCTAAACATTACTCTGTTCTACCACACTGCCTCATTCAGGTACTTGAAGATATTTTTGTATTTGTTTCTAAAAGTTAAGTGACAAAACATTTGCACGAAATGGATATGTTTTAAGAGTAGCTTTGACTTTGCATTGATTCATGAATGCGTTGATTGACCTAAAATGAACCTGCTTCAACCAATGTAGCAGATCTTAGAGTCAAGTGTGATCAAACATTTAGATTAATAGTCACACCCCTAATCAGACCTTTTGAGTTTCAAATGCAAAAGATCCTAGAAGAAACTCACAATGGTGTTGTTTCTGGAATTGCGTAGAATCACTTGTAAATGTAGATGCATTTTTATGAAAGGGCTTAAATAACTTCATGCTCCATGTACTGTTTCCTATTTTGTCCTACTTAAATCACCACAGAAGTAGTATTTTTTGCTCTTTCCTGGTAATTAGTCACGTCTAACTTTCTGCGGCACTGTTCCACATCAATCGGGTTGACTAGGGCTCTGTGAACCGTGCCCACCTTTACAAGCCTTGCCCGGCTGTGTGCGCCGCCTGCCACTGTGGGTGAACAGGAGTGAGCGGAGATCCCGGCGGTGAGGCGGCTGGCAGACAGCGTGCATACATTTGGCTCTGCCGCTCACACAAAGGGGCTGCTCCTTCTGGCTCTTCTATTCTGTTTTATGTGGCGCCATATTGCAGCTGACAGCGCCTCAGCCTACACCCGAGACGTAATCTAATTGTGTTGGATGTGTGTTTTTTGTTTTTTTACATAGCCAATCAAATGGAGTGTAAAATAATTATGTCGGATCATGTTGGCAGTAAGGTGTACATGGTGTTCAAACCTCAAGGGCTCGTTCTCCAATCTGCTGTTGTACCAGACTGGGTTTAGGGCTGTTGTTAGTTCTCACTTACATGTAAGCACCAAGAAGTGGCTCGGAGCTAGAACTGCTTATGTTTCTCCATTAACACTTAAGGCGCTCCTATTGGACAGCGAGAGCTCACGGAGGATAGACGCGGAACCGGAGGAAAACATTGAGGGCTCGTATGTGCAGCATGTCTGCTCTGCCTGTGTTTGCTCTTTTTTAGCAAAACCACCTTCAACATCAACAGCAGCTCATATGACGCAGGCCAAACACGTTGTTTTAAATATTGGAACAGCGTCGGAGAATGTGTGAGGAGAAAGCCGAAGGAGACTCTGCGCTACGTGTCCTGTCCCACACATGAATCTATGATAATAACGGCCCTGTTCAGCATTGTGGATAAACCATGGATCTATAATAACCACGGAACAAACAGACGCTGAGGATCAGGTAGGAACCAAAGAACACAATTCACTACATGATGCGGGATATTTCTTTTTGAGACGTGAGTCAAACAGTGTCAGGTTTTTAATAATGCAAAGTATTTAAAGATGCTGCCATTAACATCAATGTATACTGTGAACAGTTGTAACTCCATAAGTCTGTTGCACAGCGTCTCCTCACTGCTCCAGGTCTGCACACGGCTCAGTGTTGTTGTGTAGCGTTAGCAGCATAGTTAGCATCATAGGGGGTCGGCCCGATGTTCCCCGGGTCCGATGTTCCCTGCGTGGCTAATTCCTCAGTTTCTGTCTGCGGCTTGTTAAGCCCAAAAAATGCGCACGTATCTTGGAGTTGTGTCGGATCGACACCGGATGTATTCAGACCTGATTCGACTTGGACCAGAATTCGTTTGGAAGCGGACCGAGACCACCTCAAAAAGTGGGTCTCGGTTCAGTTCTTTGGTCCGGACCAGGATTCGTTTGTGTGTATTCAGACCTGCATAAAAGATTCGGATCAGAATTCCAAACGAATCCTGGTTCGTTTAAAGTGGAGCAAATGTGCAGGTCTGAATACACCCTAAAAATTAATTGGTTGGAACAGTGCATGTTAATCAACATGCTTCTCCGGATAGTAGCCTTAGGCTAATTTGCATTTGTTGTCCCACACTCGCAGTCACGAACACACACTCATCATTCTCCCTGAACAATTGTACATGTTTTTTGTGGTAGGGGAAATCGGAGTACCCGGAGGAAACATACGCAGAACATGCAAACTTGTATCAGTTGTAAACAATAATAAGTTGAAAATGTAGCCTGGTCTGTAAACCCAACCAGAAATTGATACACGGGGTGCACCCAGTGGGGGAGGGTCCCAGCTCAAAAGTGGCCAAAATGACGTGCGCTGACATGCTTGCAATACCACCCCGGGCCTGTGGGGGTGGACCCAGAAGAAGAATTAGCCAATGCTAACATATAGCGTTAGCAGACCTCTCAAAAACGTCTTTACAGGATGGTCCAAAAGTTGTCTCTTGGTCCAAAGCTCCGTTCCACATGTGTGTCAATGCTGAGGGGGTGTTTTGGTCCACTCTAGTTTACTTGCTGTGAATTTTTGAAGTCTCTCGTTCAAATGAATGGAGCTGCGCCGGCTGACGCATGGACAGATGCGTTTTTTCACAATTTTCTTGTGGGCGGGACCACTCGCGGCCATCTTGGATTGCTCCATGAAAGCACTTTTCATGGCCAACTCCTATGAACGGCGGAGATAGGCGTGACTCTGTCCGTTAATATATACAGTCTATGGGTGCACCAGAATAAAAAATACACTTAAAAATTGAAGTTTTTTGTTTTGTTTTGCGCCTAATAGTGCAGGAAATATGGTCATTTAAAGAAATGTAAAATATCTCATTGTAATTCACAAAATAGGTAAAATTAGGATAAATAACACAATCATTGACTTTGATTAAAAAAATAGCTGTATCATGCTTCAACAATTCAATTTTCTGCCCTATATTTTCATGGACCCTGAATGAAAACTTTGAAAACACCTGTAATAACCCATTGTCTACCACACTCTCCACTGTTAACATGTAAGCATACACTGCACTTTGAAAATATAAAAACTGTTCATCCAATAAATGCATATCAAATGGTTTTCTGAGGGCACAGTGTTGGAGATCTCTTCTGTGAGCCGCAGCAAGTACGCTCATAAAATGTCTTCAACTGCTCCACAAAACATCAATAATGCAAGACCGTGACCATCAATATAAATTGTTTTGTGACGTAGATGTTTAGCTGCATAGAGAGGGCGACCCGTAAGAAGTTTAGAATGTCATTGTTTCCAAGCTGTTATATTTGGGATAAAAATGGGCTTTAATTAACGCCTGCAGCTTAATTAAGGCTCATTACGGTAAATGTCAGAAATATAAAGCAGAAGATCTGTTTATTCATTCAGGCCAATATTCTTGTTCCACAGTGTATCCATAACATAACTTTCAAACCACATAGAACTCTGCAGTAAGTTTGATTCTCACTCGTTTTCTTTCAGTTTCATCTTTATGATCAGCTTTTCAGACTAAAAAGTAAAGAAAGAGAACTTAACTAACTTGGTTAACTCGGCTCTCAGCCCTAAGCATTAGATACTGAGCCATTGGGCTATTACAAGTTTGGTCTGATTTGTACTCACTATTTTACTTTTAAGGCTCGTTCATTCACATGTCCGCAAATCTGTCAGTCATTGGATGCATCTTCATGGACCATGTGGAGTCATTGCAGCGGTGCAGTACATCTGAGGCTGAGGATTGGTGTCTTGAATACAGGATTAAAGCATGAATCATTCCAATTACAGCTTTTAGAGAATTGATTAAAGGGATATGTAATTCTAACACAATCCAAAGCTCTTGGCAAAATGTTACCTGAGCCAAACCTCTTTAGATAATGTCTTACTATATTTTTTGTCACAATATTCGCACCATAGAGGATTAGAAGTGTCTTGCCTAAGGACACAATAAAGATTTTTTACCTTAAACTACTTTTAAAAGCTTGTCTCCATACTGTCTGTTCATTATTTAACAACCCTGCTCCACCACTGCTTATCTCTCCCGTTCGGCCGTGAACTGGAAGCCTTCAAATATTGGCTCGGCAAACCACGGCTCTAAAAATAGTGCGACGGGGCCCTGACATTGATAATCTGCGCTAATGACCCGCTAACAGTAGCCCTCTCTCCGCACCAGAGTGGCAGCTATATCATGAGCAGCTGTCTGGGGCCAAGAGCTTTCACCCCACTGTGCCATCTCCAATTTGACGCGAGAATGAGAATTTTCAGGCCCATAATACCACACGCCATTACGGGTTTCTAAAATTCAAATCGGGGAGGAAAAGTAATGAGTATTCATGAAGACTTGTCTGATGAGGTTCTTCTCCTTCTCCCTTCTCGCCCTCAGGCTTTTGTCAGCGCCAAGCATGAAGAGGACAAGGTCATTGTGTTTGACAGGGCCCACGTGGTGTTCGTGTTCAACTTCCACCCTAGCAAGAGCTTCCAGGACTACAGAGTGGCCGTGGAAGTCCCAGGGAAGTATCCTTTTCTGTTCATCTACAGTGGGATGTCACGCTACATTATAGGCATGTCACAATAAACCTTGTTATCAATACATGGGATAAGTGCCCGCTATCTTCCCTGCTGTAAGGCAATTATTATTGAGCACTATGTTTTTATATAAAAATGAATAACATTAAGTGAAAATCATATTTACATATTATTGCTCAGCTGGATTGCACACTAAATATTGTCATGGTCAGTTTGGAGATATTGGAGATTTTGTAAATGTCTGTTTCCAAGTGTCCTCAATGTAATTTTAAAAGATTTTTCTTTTTTATCAATGCACACATTTCTTTTTTTTTTTTTTTTTTTTTTTTTTACATTTTTGGCTTTTACTTATTGGTCCGCCAAATCTTCTTGAAGATTTCTGGGTGACAAGTAATGAGTATTTGTATTCCTCTGATATAATCTACTGAATTAGTTGTTTTTAAAATATAACTGGATGAAATGAAAACTGATAATCACATCATTTTTGTCTACATTTATAAAGTACTGCTTAATTATCTGACATGTTTGGGCGGTAGACCTCTGCCTTTGTCAGAGGAGACACGTGATGGTGTGACGTGTCTCTTATCAGCTGTTGTTACCAGATGCGACCCGTCTGACTCACACTTGTGACTCACTTCTCCAGAGACTACAGCACGGCAGTTTTAGATGTCAGTCTTACGAAGGCGCAAGTCTATACCAAACATGTCACGTAATTAAGCAATTTAATTTTATATTTAAATTAGTTTGCTATTGTTGAAAAAGGCACTTTAGTCACTCACTATTGCGAGTCAGTGGTGCATGTGGCAAGAAGACAGAGCGGCACATACTGAAGCATGTATACGAAGAGTACTTTTAAAAGACTCAGTGGGCGAAATGCACTGTATAGAAGCACTTTAACGCAAGAAGATCAGAGGAGATATAAAAACAAGCCGTCCATGGTGAAAAACCATTTCTCGTGTTTCCCCCCCCCCCCCCCCCCCCCGCTTCCCTTTCTACGTTTAGCGTAGGTAACGGCATAAAGGAGCAACCAGCTTTTTATTTGCGGACCGTTTTACCGCGGCCGTTTTTTGCTGTTCTTTATCCGAAGTAATTAGAAGAAAAAAACGTAATCTGACTCCAGCCGTACAACCGACCACACAACAAGAATGGACCATTTAATTTAGTAAAACCTCTCTCCAAACGTCTAAAACTAGCTAACTTTCTAGCATCCAGGTAGCTTTCTATACTGTTTTGCCACCCAGTCACGTTACCGCCGTGAAAAAACTATAAACATTGGCGTCACTCAAAGATCCTCCTATAGGACATAGGCTTTTAAGGAGTATTGGACACAATGTATAGCCTGACTCTCGCCAGACCCATGTAGCTGCTCTTTACACGTGCGTCTGGGCCTACTCCATAGCAGCTGGATTTCAGAAGGCAGGGCCTTCTAATAAAAATCCTGCCAACCTGGCAACCCTGCTGCGTAGTATTGTAAACAGGAACACTTATACTAGTACTTGAACCAAACTTTACACAAACATTTGAGTCTTAAAACACACATATAACATGGAACCACCAACATCTCGCCTCATATCGCATTAAAGTGACATCCGTGTCTTAATTCGTTCGTATTTAAACTTTTAAAAAGATTCGCCATCTTGGATTGCTTTCGCTGCTGCGTGAGACACGCTTGAGAAGGCGTCGCAAACCCGACGTAACACCGGCGATCCTGATTGGTCGATTAAAAAATAATCTGCTGAAGGAGTTTGCTATGGCCTCGATACCAGACCCATGTGGTTCAGCCAGACGCCTCTGGTGGAGCATGGCGGAACTACAAGGGTCTGACGAGAGCCAGGCTACAAAATTTAGGTCATAAAGAAGGTCTTAAAACATATTGTATTTTTCAATATTTGTGCAAAAATCGTCTTTTCACTGTAACATTCATGCTGCCCCTCCCTGTGTCTGAAGACTGATTACATTTTGTAGGAGTTCTGAAAGCCTTAATGTGTTCAATGATCATTCTTGGTGGCACAAATGAGCTCTGTGTAAAAAGGTCAGAGTGTATTACCAGCTCTCATTATCACACACTCCTCACTGGGGCTTTAGAACAGCCTTCGCAGAATTAAACACACATGTAGGCAATGGTGTAGGTTTGGTTCCAATCTTGGTGGGGACATTCACTACGACCTGAGTCTACACCCATTGACACGGGGTCCAGAGTTTCTCCCCCAGAATTTGTTGTGTAATCACACACTATATTTGCAATAGTGTGTTGCCTTCTATACTAAACTCAGCTGTAGACTGAATGAGAAGCAGTTAAGGATTTTTTCTAATAGTTAAAACAAAATCAATTGGATCAGAGCTTCTGAGTTTTGTGTTGCGTTCATTCTATACTGACTTAAACCTAATCCAAATCTACATAATAGCCCTCACCTGAGGCTCTAACAGTTTAGGAACTGCTCTCGATACTTGAAATAAATCATGCTCTGATCTTTCAATTTCCTATAATAAATAAAAACAGAGGAGAAAATATTGAATTAGAATCTACAGTGAGTATCTCACTACATTGTTTGACATATACAATCAATCTCTAAAAACAATTCATAGTCCCATGCATACCTACAAAATTCCAACCTCGCCTGATGCACTGAAGGGCCTGTTGCTTCTACCTCAACATTCCCTATATTGTTCTCTCTTGTTGGTTGAGTTTCCTATGTATGTTAACAGAAGATTAATCATCACAATTCATAATTTGCTATTACTTGTGCTTTCTCTTACTTACTTTCCAACTGTTAAAAAAGCTCCTGATATCTTTTATCTTTTTTTGTGGAGGTGGCATTTTTTCTAAATTATATAAGAAGGTATAGACAATCAAAAACAGACATTCATATACATGAACTGCAGAATCATTAAGTATTTCTCAATACAATGAGTTAACAAGAGTTTGGCAATAAGTAACAGTGTGGATTTTTCTATATTTTCTTTTTTTTTATTCCATTCTCAACCCAAAAAGGCAAGTAATGACTCACAGGGCTCTCAAGTATGCAAAATAAAAACTTAAATGACCTGTTGTGGTGTGTTTTGCGCACAACCAGCATGCATCGTTAACGCAATGGAAAATGTAGGTATCCGAGCTTTAATTTCGGGAGCGCTGGTTGCGCTTTGGGAAGAGTCAGGGGAGAGACATGTCAGAGACACAGGGGAGAAACGGGGGAGATACGAGGGAGACCCGCACTTGCAACATGGTTCTGTCTGCATATGGTCCGAGCTCGGTACCATGTTAGAGCTGTGCTTTCACTGAGCGCCGCGGCTGTCATTACAAAGCGGCAGCAGCTGCACCAGGACGTGCACATTCGAGTGCATCGCTTGAATGTGCTTAGAGCAAATAACAGCAAGTGCCCGCTGTCACACATTTCACAGAAATCACATTATCAGCAGATAAAGGTTGTAAATCGTGGATCCGTGGAATATTTTCATCCCTAGTTTATCCTGATTCACACAACACACCCACTTATACATTTTGGATAGTAAGAGCACAATAAGTATTTTTTCAGCCTTTCAACCAACCTGTTTCTTTATTGGAGCCAGTTCTGTTCTGTCTCTGTGCCGTGTGAGCTCCTCGGAACATTAAACAGTGCGCTGACAGATTAGAAATAACGTAAGTACTTTGAATGGTAATAGATCTACAGTACTTTCCTCTGATTACTCGCGTGCTACAACGCTCAGGGAACGAAAAAAAACACTTGCTTCATGCTGGCTAACTTTTAAAAATTAAACAGTCGCTCAGTGCTTCAGTTTGGCGCTGAAGAAGACAGCCAATCACTGCAGAGAACGGAACGGGTCACGTGCTGCTGCTGCTGCTGTTGCTCTGGAGGCGAGGAGGAGGCGCGACGTGTGCACAAACGGAAGACATGTGTCCCGGACCGTCCGGGTCACGGGACATCATGTCATTTTGGTGGGGACTTTTTAGTCCTCACCAAATATTGGTGGGGACATGTCCCCATGGTCCCCACGCAAACCTACGCCCTTGCATGTAGGTCTTTACCGGAGGGGACGTCCAATCTGTACCAAGCTCCCCACTAATGTCACAGATTGGTTTGACACATGTGCAACAGGAGACGAGGACGTTGTTTAGAAGGCAGTTTTGCTATCGGAGTAAATAAAAGCAGAGCCCATGGTTCAGAAAGCACTCTCTTTAGCATTACACACAGCCAACAGGATTTTAATGAGTCCCTCTGTTGTGACTGGCGGTATTATTATATTAGCTAGGACATCCAAAGGGACACAATGGACATACAGTAGTGCTCACATTGATTTTCATTGATTTCCATATGCAAGAAAAATATGGAAATTATCAGTCAATAAAAATAGGCCTTGTGTCTTCATCAACTTAAAACCTGTACAATTCCCCAGCTTAATGGCAGCTGTCCACTTCACTGCTCACTGACACATTCAGGCTGTAATGACTACTTTAATAATGTGGCATGTTGAATTTTTAATTAATGATTTTATTGGAGTGTTGTGCTCACAGCTTTTGACATTTGGAATTGAATCCGGATTTCACTTGTGCATTGTGGCAAATTAAACATTTTCTAAACAGATGGACCTAACCCAAATTCCGTACTTATCGGCTGTTTGAGTGCACCTGTTTATTTGCCAAAACCAGTTACACTTTAAAAGAAAATAAATAGAACGCAGATAAACGCAAGTTGCAGGTTTTCATGTTGTAAGGTACACATAACTGAAATGGAACAAAAAGCAAAACTTTATTTGCGGGGCTCACTACAATGTTGGTGTTTGGTTCTGCAGGAGGCCAGCTGAACCAGAACCCTTACCGTATCCCCAATTATATTTATGGGACTTGCCCCCAACTGTTATTCATTTAAATTTGTGTTTTAAGAGTCACAAAAAGCTAATATTTCATTCTGCCGCAGATGAAATATCAATATTCCAGTAAGAGCTTACTTAGCTGTTAGCCTCCACGTCTGCATTGACGTTTTACTTCAATG